AAAGGCTCGGGCCGAGATGCTTCATCGTCATCATCATCATCATCATCATCATCATCATTGCTTTCACCTTTCATCAGCACCTATTGCCGCCAATCACGGTCAACAGTACCATCATTGCCGTCGTCGCTACCACCATCATGATTATCGTTGCCACCATTACTACCATCAGCGTCATCAGCACCGTCCGCATTTCCCATCATTCTCGTTCTATCACCGCCTATCGCCGTCCCACCCATAAATGTGAAACAATGAGCCGTTCATGTCACGCGTCTGAGCAGGCCAAGCAGCTGGAGGAGCTGGATCAGCGCACTGCCGCGGCTGCCAAACAGGCGCTCGCCGGCTGAAGTTTTCATGCGGCACCTTAGTTCCGGCCAATACCAGGAATGCTTAGCAGGCTGCCTGCCTGCACAAGTGGTGCTACAGGCGCGCACCAATTTGCACATGCCCGCACAGCTGTCGCACGCCCCTTGCAATAGCCGCGAAGTGTGTTTTCTTGCGCGTCAGATCGTATGTAACATCAATGAAGCCGGCAAGCTGCCCTTGCCAGAAGCTCACGCAGGCAACCGTGACTGAACTGTTGCGCAAGGCTGGCCGTGGTGTCGGAAATGGAGCCCAGTTCAGAGATGTTCAGAGTTCCGAGAGCATCAGAGAGCAATGCGTGAGGACGTCTCCGATAACATTAAGGTCGCAACAGATCTGTAGGACAGCGGTTATCCGGCTATCCTTCATGGGGTGGAGGGAGTGCTAAAGCTGTCGTGCCGAGGTATCGCTTTGTGGGTTCTTTGATCGGGAGCTCATACTTTGAGCGAAGAAGCTGCACTTCCGGGAATAGACGCCTGAACTAATCATGCACAAATGATCCCGACGAAGTGGGTATTCGTATGATGCGCCGCCACTGCGCATGAGTAGTGCATAGACTCATGCTTTTCCATGGCGTCGACGAGAGTGATGGCTTAGGCCTCGACCCCACTACTGATACTGTTGATGATATAAATCCTGCAATTTCCTTAAGGGCGCTAAACTATGGGAATTGTGGCATAATTCCTTATTGTAGGTACTCGCAATGCAGGATTCATATGTTCAAGCGTAGGTTTCCATTTGGACAGCTCGTCCAGGCCGGTCTCGTGGGAGCTGAGGCAACCGCAGCTTCGCAGGCCATGGGCGGGGGGGGCTTTTTTTACCGTGAGCCTTCGGGAAGCAGTGTGGGTGCAGAGTATATTGAAGCAGCCGGCGGCTAGACCTCTTCGTGCCCTCCGCCTGCGAGGTGTCTGCAGCCGCCTGACGGATTCGCCAGATCAAGAAGTGCATGGCGGCTGAAAGACAGGCATACAGCGAGCACTGTCTCCCTACTCAACGGTGGTAGCTCCACTTCGGCCCTCTATCAAAGCGTCTATCTTTGGGGATCGTGCAACCCTAAACCCTTCGTCCCCGGACCAGGGACCCCGTTGGAGCAACGGTGTGTTAGATCTATGAGAGCGGTCTGCCACGCGCCTACTCGAGCCTGTTCTTGGGCTAAGGCTTAAGCCGAACTAACGGTCTCGGAGCTTGTGTTCGATTTATCATGAGTTTGCCAAGGGCTGCGTGAAGCTCCCGCAGCCGAGTTTCCTTCACAGACTTGCTGTTGAGATTTGTGCCCCCGCAGCTTCTCCAAGTGCCCGGCTCGATGGCAAAGGGCATGGAGGGTTTGCGGATGGCATCTCCGCATCCCGTGAGGCCAGCTCTTTGCACAGGCTAAATACTTGGGCTGCATTTGGCAACGGCGGAGCCTCTATGCCTTGCAACTCAGATGTTCCCCAGCTTTGCACGGCATCGGGTTGGCTTTGGTCCGTTCATGTCGTATCTCGAAGACGATGCCACCAAACCAGAGTGTACTGCTTGATTAAGCATGACCCCCATCTGCGTTGCGTGTTCTGTGCACTTGCAGCCTTAATATTCGAGCGGTGCAGGCGCTTCTGACCAGAATGAAGATGGTCCCACCCTTAGGCGCAGATGCACCGGGTGGTCCAGTGTCCCTGCCCGGTGCCGATCGGAATAGGAGAGAAAGCTAGTCGTGTCGGCTACATCGTCCAGGCTTTGCTGAGAAAGACCCCCGGATTCGTCATTGAGGTGTCCCGTCTACTGCTGCTGACCGCTGCCCTCGCGGAGCTGGTGGCTGCGGTGGCTGCCAGGTCCGTTTTGCCTCGGACTCATCAGCCCAATACCCAATACCCTAAGGCCGAAACCCTGCGCCCTGAGCCCCAAACCCTAAACGCTGAACCCTCAACCCTGAACCCTAAATCCTAACCCCTAAGCCCTAACTAAACCCTGAACCCAAACTTCAAAATCTCTGCATGGGAGGCATCACTCGGAGGCCCCAGCTTCAAAGGCACTGGAGCTCCTTGAGAAGCTGTCCGGGCCTTACTGAAAGGATCAGGGGACTTACTGTAGTCTTTAAGGGTTGCCTTGAGGGGTCTTTTTAAGGGTTTCTAGAGTTTCCTGTTTTCTGTTTGAGCAGGGGCTTAGAGATCTTTCAAGGTTCGTTGGACTTGGGAACTAGGGTGAAAGATCAAGGTAGCTATGCTCACAGTTACTAGTAACCCCAATTAACGTAGTTGTAGCCTTACTAAGTCCCCTGATCCTCCAAGTAGACGAAGTGTGATAGGATGTAAAAGGGCTTGACAAGTATTACTAGCATTGCTTGAAGCAACACCACAGGAGATTGGTGTCATTAGTATATAGTATTGTTGTATTCTTTTACATTATACTGTTGTGCCAAGCAGCAATGGATCATCCCAGCCCGCAGGTGGAGGCAAGGTCGAGCAGAACTCAACGACGAAGCGGTCCGGTGGCATGGCGAACAGAGGTAAAATATTATGGTACAGTATAGTGTAATATAAGATGACATAATATAGTACAGTATAGTAAGATAGTATGTAGCAGAAACAAGCAGAATATACTATACATTATTTGATAAAGTCTTTTCATGAGCTGTAGTATATGGTACTGCGCTATACTATACTATACTATACTATACTATACTATACTATACTATACTATACTATGCGATGCTATACTAGGCTATGCTATACCGTGCCGGTGCTACTACATAGCACCATTGCACGATGTCAGGTACGAAAGGCTGAAGCAGTGGTGCGCTGACACCGCCGCCTCCAAGAAGCTTCTCGGAGCGTTAGCGGAGACTTTCGGAACCGCTGTCTGTACCATACGAGTAGTACTGATAGTACCACCTGGTGCTGGTAGTACTGATAGTAATAATGGCAGCAGTAATTCGAGCGATAATGCAGATAATAGCGGCAATAGTGATACTTGCAATGATCGTGATGGCGGCAGCAATAATCAAAGCCCAACGTGCGAAAAGTACCGTGTCGGCGGGAAGTTGTGCCGGATGGGGGTGCGCTTGAGCCACGTGAATGCTGAGGAGCGAGATCCAGGATGGTGAGGAGAAGGAGGCGGGAAGATCTTCGAGTATGGTTTATAATATTGAATGTACTTTGCTATACTGAAGTAGCTGTAGCATATTGTATCATCTTCTGGTACCATCTTTTTCTATATCACGTTATGTGATATTTTTCTACTATGCTATGAGTCGTGGAAGTGTGCCCGAATCTTCTGGGATCGGGATCTGCGAGCTTTCGGCCCGGATCTTCCACATTGCAGTATGGTTCGGGCCATAGAGCCCCACCCCACGACATGTAAGTAACAACATAATGAGTACTGTAGTTCATGGAATATTATCATACAGTTAATAAAGTATCATAAAATATCCTAGCGGGTTCACTATCCGGGCGGGTTTTTGCTGCTTTTTATGTGCTTTTGCATGCCCCTCTGTTTGTCCCTCACTTTGAAAACACCGTCCTGCGCGAGGTTTTCGCACTCTTCCTGATGTTGCGCTCTTCGTACCCGAGGGTTCTGTCTCATTCTCGCTTTCTTGAAGAAACACAGAAAAACTCACGTGAGTTTTTCTGGTGCGTTTTTGGATGGGACTTGGTCCGAAGCTCGAAAAACGTGGCCTGCGTGTAGTATTCCTGACTTTCGGAAACTATGTTTTCTGCTATCCCCTGCTTGCCGCTTTCTGTGTTTTTCTGTCTGTGCCGTTTTCGGTCATTTGCTCTGCTTGCTCTTTGGGGGGGGCTTAATGACATTATGCTGCAATTATGAAGTCAACCAGTAGAATCACCAGAGGAAACGAACACGTAACGAACGAAACGACAACAGGCGGAGGACGTGGCCGCAGGCACACGCACCCTCCCCCTGCTGGGCCAACCTACGAGCGGGCGAAGGGTTCAGGACGACTAGGGTAGGTCATCACCATGCAAACATCACCATGAACAAGGTCACTACACATACCATCCAAAACCCTTACCAATAAAAGTTTTTTCCAATACCTAAAAACACAAAACCCCGAAAAAAACGACACAAAACCACCCCGGAAAGTGAACCCGCAAGGTAACATATCATATTAAATTCTAGTGTAATATGAGCAAGAGAGGTTTCAGCCCAATCCAGCCAGCCAGGAGCGCACCAGCGCGGTGGTGGAGCGCACGGAAGCCGCTGTTGCAGCGGTGCAGGAGGAGATGTCTGGGCCATAGGATTGTTAGTTGTCCCAGCGGAACCGATCTCTGGCAGTCAGCAGATCGCTTGGAGGACATCGAAGAGCTCGTTGCAAAAGCCAGCAAGCTGGATGAAACGAGGTTCGGAAGTAAGAGCTGCAAGGATAAATGTCGGGTTTGAACATATCTGCCAATGGTCTGTGTTGCAAGCTCCCTGCGGATCTGAGGCATTCCGGATTTCGGTCTTTTAGTTGAGGTTTGTGGGACCGGCACGACTCGCTTTATGGTCGTGTCTCTGCGGATTAGGGACGCACTTCGTTGCAGGGTTTGTGGCTTCAGATTTCGGTGACCTTGCTACTGCACTGTCTTGTTGGGTGGATAGGACACAGTCAGGGATGTTTGGGTAGCCAGGTAGGCAGCAGTAAAATGCTTCCTGGCAAGCATGATTCAAGAATTTTCCAGACTCAGCGTATCATCTTAGCTGCGAAGTAAGGTCCTGCCTAAGCTCTGTTGGAAGTCGGAGATATGAAGGTCTCATACCGAGAAGCGCCGCCAAGACGAGGCTCCGCCGTCCGATTGTCACTCGCTTCACTTGTGGATGGTCGACAGAGACCGAACTTGTGGCGTTTCTTTGACTGCCGTTCTCGTTCTGGGGTTGGGGTCTGTGTCTGAGATAGTCAGGAGCCTAGGCCTAGGCAGCACCCCAGTGTCGAAATGCTGTGCGCCAGTCCTCCACCTACATCAGCTCAGACCAGGAGCTGCAGCTCAGCTGGCAAAGCGAAGATTGCTCTGGAAAACGGTTCAAGACGTGTGAAGGTTTAGGGATGCTTGGTGCAACTGGCGTCTTGCACTTGATTTACACTATGCCTCGTGACTTAGGTTGTGCATGCTGTCCTCCATGCTCCCACACGAGCGTGCCCAGGCAAAGATCGATCCGCGCGGTGCAGCGCGCGAGCTTCCTTCTGCGAGAGAAGAACGACGCAGAGTCCAAGGTGTCGCCTTCACTGCATGACATCTAACAAAACGCACAGAAGGGAGACTTTCCATGGTTTCGGGGTCATCGAGCGAGCATCACGAGCACCAGAATGGAGGCTTTTCACCAACGGGACCACGAAAGGGATCATCGCAAGCTCTAGAAGGGAGGCTCTTAGCATGCATCGGCAGAGAGACTCTTGACCAGTGGGTAAACGAGAGGAAGCAGCGCGAGTAGACTTCTCAGCAAGCAGGTAGGCAGCGAGAGCGAGCATCATCAGCATCAGAAAAGGAGATTGTGAAGCAGTCCGGCAGCAAGAGCGCATCACGAGCATCAGCAGTGAGAGACCGTTCAATCAGATGAGCATCAGAAGGGGGACTTTGAAGCACTTGGGCAAAGAGAGCGAGCATCAGGAGCATCAGCAGGCAGACTGTGTAACCAGCTAGGCAGCGAACACGAGCATCATGAGCATCAGAAGGGCGAATTTGAAGCAGTTGGGCAGCGAGAGCGAGCATCACGGGCATCATCAGGGAGACTGTCTAATCGGCTTTGCAGCGAAAGCTAGAGTCATATGCATCAGAAGGGGGACTGTGAAGAGTTGGGCGGCGCGAGCGA